ACAGCCCCTCACATGGTGCACCCCTGCTCCAGGAGCTCCTGCCAGGTGTCTTGCTGCAGCTGGATGTCTTCCTGGAGCCTGCGGTCGATGGTGTGCTCCACAGATCAGAGTGCCACAAGGTGCTCCATCTGGCTCATCCATGGGTCTCCTGTGCCTGCAGGTTCCTTGGATTCTGGAGGCTGCCTTGGGTTCTGGAGGCTGCCTTGGCCCCTCTCGCAGCTGGTCCAGCAATGGAGAATAAAGAGAGATGGTCAGTCATACCAGGGGACACTGTGCCTGAAGCCTGGTCCTCACCTGTGAGTCGAGAGTGACAGTTCTCAGCACAGTAGAAGGCGACATGCTTGGCCATGTGCGTCCAGTGGGCCCATTCCTACAGGGGCCCAGATATCTCCAGGAGAGTATTGCCCCAAGAGTCCCGCAGAAGGCCATGCCCGCTCTGCTGAGTGTGTGCGTATGTATGTCCCCAGCCTCCTTCTAGAGGATGGTTGTGGAGGGAGGGTGTGTGTCCCACCCAAGAGGCACAAGCCTCTTCAGATGTCCTGTGTGCAGTAGCACAAGGGTCCTCTGTGCCATCCTCCCTGGGGCTGTGTGGTCAGAAGCAGTGCAGCACATGCTCCCACTGCTGTGCAATCCCTAAGATGCAAGGGCCAAGTGAGGAGTGCCCAACTACCCCTCACTGTCCACCACCTCCACCCCCTGGGTAAAAGGAACACGATGGCACTCACATGATGTTCCTTCCCCAGCCTTAGACAACACTTGGGACACGTCCACAGGGAAAGGTACCAGCTCCAGGGTCAGCAGAGTGATGGTGCTGGCTTCATCCGGCTCCTTCTCCATGAATCTCTCCCAAACAATAACGATGACAGGGGTCTTGAGTCCGGAGTCCACAACCAGAGTGGGTAAAGGGACTGCCCGGCCCCTCTCCCCTGGATGTGGTCTACGTTTTCGCAGTAGGGGTAGTTGTGGGGTTCTGCCGTGGAGCAGGAGTTGCCCTCTTTAGCACTGGCATATGCTTGGCAGAGCTCTTTTACCTTCATCTGCACTTGCTACTGGGTGCAGACATGTCCTTTGTTGGACAGGCTCTCGTCCATGCGGCCACAGACATCCATGTTCCTGTGTCTAGTGCAGAGATCCTGGAGGCTTTCCTCCTCACCCTAGAGCTCAATGAGGTCCAGGATCTCCACACCAGACCAGGAAGGTGCATGCCTCTTTCAGCCCCTGGCAGGATCCTGGGAGTTGTTTGAATGCTCCCAAGGAGTAGTGGAGGGCTGGGTGGGAGCAACGGAGTCACTCATTTGTCAAGTTTCGAGGCAGTGGCAGTTGCAGGGTGGCTCAGGACTGTCAGGGCCTCCTGCTTCTCACAAGCCCTTTACCCAGTGGCTGCAGCTTTAAAGGTTCCAGGGGAAGGTGGGGAATGTAGAGTTTGGCTGAGTGTGGACAGAGTGGCTAGCAGGGCACCGTGGGAAGGGCTGGAGGCCCCTTATTTCAAAATAACTGCAGCTGCCCTGTCTACACAGGCCCTATTGCAAATGAGGTTTACAGTTTTGGGAATAAGCCACCCACTCTTTTGAAACTATTTCAAAATAACGCTACTGCTGTGTAGACACTCAAATAGTTATTTTGGAATAATGAATAGACATACCCTTGGTATCCAACCTGTTCTGAAGCAGTAGCCATTATAATGGTTTTCTGTCTTGCAGCTGCCCTGTCTACACAGGCCCTATTGCAAATGAGGTTTACAGTTTTGGGAATAAGCCACCCACTCTTTTGAAACTATTTCAAAATAACGCTACTGCTGTGTAGACACTCAAATAGTTATTTTGGAATAATGAATAGACATACCCTTGGTATCCAACCTGTTCTGAAGCAGTAGCCATTATAATGGTTTTCTGTCTAGTGAACTAGCCACATTCAACTGGCCAAATAGCCACAATGTTCAAGCCAGCTAACCACACTCAAGCGGCCAAATAGACACTTGTGAGTATGGCTAGCATATTGGACACTATAGATCTAGACTGAAGTGATTTGCTGCAATGTTGTTTAAAGGTGTAAAGCTGCTTAGAAGCTAAAACAATTAATGTAAGTCCATAAAGAATTTGAGGGTGCTTCAGACATGCACATTATATTTCATTTACAAATTTACATTATTTCCAGTTGGCATTGTTTTACAAAGAGCAGCCCTCTTTCAGTGATTGCATACTTCATGCTCCAAAGAGATGTGCCATAGCCTCATTGAAGGAAGCTAGAGCAAAGTTTGACCTTCACTTCAGAAAACAAAACAAAACAAAAACCCTATAGAATTGGTGTGAATTTGTGACACTGAAAAATCTTACAGTGTGCTAGAAAGAAGAAGGAAATTTACCAGTATTCTACCTACGTTTTAGAAAGCTCTCTACTTTACTAATCTACTCCTGTTCATCAAGACTGCATTTTCTCCCACAAAGTTTAAAGGATATTTTCTTACACTGGTGAGTTTAAAATAAAATTACAAAAACTTAAAGAAAGCCAAGCCCTCTTCTGTGAGTCATACCATTGCTGTGAGGCCAAGAGTGTACAGTAGCACTTCTTACTAGGGCTTCATCCACTTTTCCACCACTGGGGTTATCCACATATTGCCTTCCTTGCTCCAGGGCATTGAAGCACTCTATCCAGGAATCATTAGTATCCGCTTGCACTCTGTCATAACTCCAGTTCATATAGGGAAGTGTCAGCCGGTTATTGGAGGACATATAGTCCAAACAGCTCAGAGAGGTGAAAGGCTGTGCGTGCTGATTCTGAAGAAGGAGAAGGAGGCTGGCTGGGGGTTCCTGCCCTCTCCTGGCTCCTTCTCCCATCTGAGGAATTAAAGTGGTCTGACACATCATCAGTCTCCTCTCTGCAGCCTGGCCAGTGTCTGAGGTCTTGCCAAAAATATCCAATTCATCCTCAATGAAAAGCCCAGAGTTGTAACCTAGTCTGCGGTTCATAATCGCACTAAATCCACATGTGCATCGGTACTGGTCCTCATTAGATGAATCTGGGATGTACAGCCCTACATCTGCACCTTTAATATTCATGTTACATGCGCATATACAACAGCTATCAAAGTTGCGATCTTTAAAGATGTTCAGCACAGAATCTGAAAGAATCAGGGTGACATAAAGGCTGTGGGCTTCTGGAATTGGCTGGACTGTTGCTGGCTCCACAGAATTAAGTGGTCGTGTTGTAGAAGGGGTAGAAGCTGGTGAACCTTGATCTGTGCTGTCATATTTTACAGATCCCTGCCCCCTGGCAGTGCCCCCACCTCTAGGAGTCCTTGGGGTTCTGGGTGTGCGTGGCGTAGGGACGGAGAAGCGGGGAGTTGCTGGGGATGGCAGTACTCCCGCTCCACTGTTGCTGGCTGGGGCAGCACTGTTTAATGTCACTGGTGTATTCATTTGGGGAGTGTTCATCTGAAGATAGTCTTGATCTGCCAGGCTCCCAACACTAGGCACATTGCTGCAAACATACAGGAGGAAGATGAGTATTCAAAAGATTCACTGTAGACAGGACTTAGATGCAATAGCTCTATGAAGACCAAAATCATGGGAAAGCATGTTTAGACATTCCTCTCATTGTATTCAAGATTCTCTTCTGTCTACACTTTCAAGGTCTCATCAACAAATACAACTGTCACCTGAGAGAGCAGTAAAAAGAAAAAAAACCCCAAAACCAACCCAACCAAACCAAAACAGAAAATGCCCCCTCACACAGTTTAAAGATTACACACTAAGATTCTGTTCTGTACTAAAATCTCAGATGCTTATTTAGAAGGACCTGAGTATTTTCAGCACTTGGGGGTGGGGGAGAGAAAATTATTCCAGTGAATTCACTATGCAGTTCTCTCTAAAGAAATCTACAGTCCAATGCGTAAAAATTAGGGATATGAAATTTCATATAGTTGTCGAGTTGTAAACTCCCTTTAGAAATAATTAGCTTAATTGCCTATATGTTTTACAATGTTGGTAGTAAATAAGTAACTTCAATGCTCCTTGATACAGATAATTTATATGATGCTTCTTGTTGAAATTTTACTGTTTCCTTGGAGGTACCAGTTGACAAAAGTGTTTCACATACAATTAAGGCAGTCTTTATCTAGCCTTAAATACTTTACAGCATAAAATAACACTTGCTATTACAGACGTGTGGTCCAGAGGAGCAGAAAATAGTATTTGTAGGTCACCATTTGTCATCACACTCCTTTTTACTGACAGTTTTGCCATTATCTGACAAAATTCAGGGACTAGAATGTGGTCATATGTTCCCACAAGAGAGCTCTTCTCTTTGTTGTGACAAATTATAGTAAGAAACAGATAATTTTGTAATAAGGCTTCATATTAAGGGCAACGTAATTGCTCAAACGAATAAGATCTTTATAACATTCCTCTTCCGGAGAGCTAATAAATTTTTTTTTGCAATGTATTCCTTAAAGGGCAGCACATAAAATATAAAAATAAGATTAGTCTTTGAAGTAGGAGCAGAAACACATGGCTTTTTTTACATTTGTGCACTCTTACTGTATGTTTTATATGCTAGGTCAGAAATATATTATTTTAAGGATTCTATTTCATTAGCAGCTTGAAAAGCTACCGCATTAAAGACCTGATTCTTTAGAACAGTTTTGTTATCTTGAACTGACTTATGTCCAAAGCAAAGAATAGGAAAAAAAGGACAAAGATTAAGAGTTGGTAATCTGTGGTGAATACTTTAAACTAATGACAAAGGATGACTTAGAAATCTTGATTAGTAATCACCTCACTAGCAAAAGCCTGCAGTATTAAGGGTGCAGTAATGATCTTCACTCTACTTGGATTAAATTGAAAATAATTGTTTTCAATAAATAACTGCAATTAATAATCCAGGTTACTTTTAGAAAAAACAGTGAACTCATTGTCTCTTTAAGTGACATGGAGGGTTTGTATTTTTTTTTCCTTTTGCCTTTCTTTTGAGATCACTGGAAGGCCTGATTTCAACGATGTAGGGTTTGATTTAAAAATACAAGTCACTCCCTCTATAAATTAATTCACCGCAGCAGGAGACTCTTCTTCTCCATATATTATATCTTTTAAGAGGATTCATGTATTAAATGGTTTAAATTCTTGCTAGGTTTCCAGATCTGCAGCAATGGATTTCTTCCATAAACAGCATATACTTTTGAAAAAATATGCAGAGAATGCAAATTTCTCATTTAACTTAATGACATGAGGCATTGCTACACTATACATTATGGTGGAAAGAAGTACTTTTCATTATAGGAAAAGGAATCACCGAGCACATTAAACTGTCAACCTATGTAACCAATTCAGAAGAAAGAAGAGTACCATAAAAAAGACTTGTGTGTCCTCACAAAACTAACACAGGGTGAAATTCATCCCTGCTGGGCTCTTACTACATTTAACATGCAGAGCTGCAATGGGGGTAGCTTCCGAGGTCAGTGTGAGGCGGGACTAAGGAGTCCCAGTACAGAATCAGCTCCGGGACACTGCACCTACTATGTTCACCCTGCAGAGCAGTAGAAGGGGTAACAAGGATCCTCCCTTATTAACTAATTGAGTAGTCAATGGAAATTCCATCAATTACTTGATTAGCTGATTAACTGCAATTTAACATCCCTAATGTGAACATGAGTACCTTCTTTATGAAATACTACCTTCTTTCATATTTTATACAGGCAGGTATTTTCTCCATATCACTCACATAGCAAACAGTTATTACAAGTACAGTCAGTCCCCGGGTTACGTACAATATAGGGACTGTAGGTTTGTTCTTAAGTTGAATTTGTATGTAAGTCGGAACTGGTACATATTGTACCCCAGGTGTCCCCGATTCAGCCACTGCTGAAACTGACCAGCGGCTGACTACAGGAAGCCCGAGGCAGAGCTGCTTTTCCCCGGGCTTC